GCGTTCCCAAAGCGCTAGTACACACCGAAAACGATCCAAAATGGGTATTATTTATCACTAGGTCAAGCGCATGGCATAAGATGGTCTGTTGCTACTTTCACTCCCGAACAGTCGATCGATTATAGGTCAGAGCTGCTGTTACGCACATGCAATCACCATTTACCATTTCCTCTCGGAAACGAGTGCATGGCGCAATCCCAAAGCCATCCTGGGAGATGGACTATTCAACGAAACTGTTGGAAAATGCTTACATTGATGCGTTTCCACGACGGTTTCCGTCACCACAGCTGTATTGTCGTCGTAGGTCTCATCAGCGCAGTAACACAATGAGAACACCATTATGAAGACCTTAATGAAATTTCTGCAGTTCTGAAATTTCTATCGATCGATTACTATTGATTCTATGAGTACAGCGATTGCACAGCATTTCTGATCGATGCACGCACAAATGCTCTCAAGGTCGTTGGCGTTCTAACGACGATGCGTAAAGAAACACTATGTAGGCCAATCGTTACACTTAGAATTGATGGCTCATACAGAGATGTGTCGATCAGCAAATAAAAATCAATAAACTTACCACGGTGATAAGTAGAGTTCTCATAGCGCTGATTGAAGAGGGCCTGGTTTTGACACTCAGAGTTAAATAGGAAACCACAGGTCGTACGGGCGTGGCAAAACGAAGGACGATTGCGGAAAGTGGGCTGGCTGGTTTTCTTGAACGCCCACCCTACTACGAACCGAACCGGACGGGAAGTGCTTGTTATTACAGGAACCGTGATCTAGTAAGTTGTTTATTATTTGTAAATCATAGTGACAAACGAGTGTACTGGCACATTCGGAGGAATAGGGTCGATGAAGGTTTTTGAGCAACAGCGCCCGGAGCCAACTGGTGGCATAGAGTACAAATAAGAAGTGTGGAGAAATCTTAAAAATAGGTTCCAATGAGATACTATTGGTTTTGCGCTACGAAACCCTGGCTATTCATTTTATCGAGTGCAAAAAATAGGAATAGCGATTATCTTAACAACCTATAGGAGATTTTGCTTTTTATCTGGCTGAAAAAATGGCGGTTTTTCCTTGAACCTCATTAGAAGGCAAGCTCATCGTACGCTAACCCAGTGGACTTATAATAAAGAGTTAAGCTTGGTTCTGATATGTACTACAACTAAAAGAAGACGTTGAGCAAGGCCTGGGCCGGAGTCATCCAAGAAAACCTTTGAAGTGCTCTCAAAGTTTCTTCAAAGGCGGTTTCAGGAAGTATAGATAGCATCGCTGGAAATGAATTGCGATGGAGTATTTAAGTGTTTCGAAGTTTTGTCGTTTTCGGCCAACCCTAATTTTAAATGCACGGTATATCGGTAGACTGATGCAAGGCGAATCTTTTTCTATAAGAAGCCGTTCAACTGGGTACGTTTGGAATGCTGGACCTCTGGAGGCGATGAACTGAGGGAAGGTCGTTTTAGCATCATGTTGGGTTTTGATGTATTTCTCTTCAAGGAAGCTATCGAGATCGTCAGAAATTTGACAGTAGATAGATCAAAGGTCTACTAAGTAAGATGTTCGCAGAACCACTCTGAAGTTCAGCTGGTACAACTTGTGAAGGGTTGGCCGTGCGATGTGCGTTCAAGACACCTTTCAGGGATGTGTGCGTTCCTTTATAATGAGGAATGCTGGACCCATGTCCTAGAGTTTTTGATGATTTTTGAATTAGTATAAAGATTGATTCTCCACTGTAACAGTTCCATCTGATACTGAAGAACATGGCCAGCCGCTGGCCCCATGAAAGCTGCCACAACCCTCCTCCAGCACAGTTTAAATTCTGCAAAGTTTGTAGAGCTTCATCGCCGTCGATCTATTCAGCAAACTTTCGTAGACTATAGAGAAGAATCCGCTCTTTATTGTACGTCGCAAATCTGTAGAGAAACGAGTCGCTTTTATCACATAAAACAAGCGACAATTTGATGGACGACCCTTCAAATTGGTGATTTGTCGCGGCACGCCCCTATCAAATTTTTTGGACTTTCCAGCTTCTTCCGTATAGCTTGGCTGTACAAACCATATACGCCAGGTTGGGGATGGGGTCCCCAACGGTCGACGGTTTACTTCAACTCGGTTGGTACGATAGGAGAGTACTGACGCAAGTGGTGCAGCTGGTCCAGCAGCTCGCCAGAAGGACTGGTTTGCTCACCCTTGGACTAAGCCTTGGAGAGGGGACGGACCCGTCCTCTCTTTAAGGCTTAGTTCTGAGGTAAGCACCAAATTGTGGCGGTTCTAAGGACCGAGTTGAAGTGGTCCGTCCACCGTCGGGGACTCCATCCCCTCCCCAACATTCAGCATACGGTCCCAGCCGATGTGCCAAAAGGGCTGGTTTGCTTCTTGAACTGTTCCCGCCACTTTCAGGTCTATTTAAAGCTAGAAAAAGAAAGTCATGCCAACTTGCTCATCGAGTATACCGCATTCAAAGCTTTGAAAAAGCTATAAGAAAATATTTAGGACAAAGTTGAGCTAAGCATTGGATAGAGCTGGAAAAGCTCTTCAAAATGATATCAACATCAATCGCAGCTTTCGTCAAAAACGAGTGTCATATTCGTGATCAGAGCCCCAAATAACCCCTATACAGAAGTTTACAGCGAATTTGGTGATAATCAGTTGGCGCCAAATGGCGCCAATTTGGCGCCAGCGCCAAAAATGGATGTCATATTCGTGATCAGGACCCTCGATAACCCCCATAGCAGAAGTTTCAGCGAAAATTATTTTTTGACCCATCTCACCCCCACTGGGGTTGTAATAGTGCAATAGTGCTGAAGGTTTTAGTTCCGACACTCTTAGACCACTCTGAGCGCTTTATTAGGGAGTCTACTGGCAGAACGCATCTCTAACCATTAGGTACTGAGGCGATATTCCCTCCCTAAAGCAGCATTTAATAACGCTCGGATCAGAAAGAAGGCTGATCGTCTCAACCAAGTAGTCAATGGAAAACAATAGATGACGAATGAAAGAAGGAGCAACTGAGCCATACGTATTTTGAATGCATCAGATCAGTAACCATAAGCCGCTGTTCAGGCGAGAGAGCGCAGGCGAAGGCATCAATTCGAAGCGGTTTAAAGGACCGAGTTCAAGTTGTCCGTAGACCCGATTTTGTCCTTATTTTCTTAAAAACGGAAGTAAGCTACGATAAAGAGTCGCGCTCAGGAGCAAGGCTTACACTGTTAGACAGTGACCCTTTGGAAAGCATCGATAACCACCCCTCAAGCTTGTGGGAAATTTTATGTATGTTCGACCCAGACAAAGTTTAAATTTTCCGTGGGCACATGTTATTATAGTTGGGTTCCCAACCGCGTTCTCTCCATGGGTGAGGGAAACATTAGCAAAATTACACATCCAGTTTCGCTAAACATGTTCAGTTCTTCAGTAGAGTAAATTTTGATGACAAATCTTCGTGTCATGTGCTCCAAGAATGATCTTCTTGTTTTTTCTCCTTCACGTTAAAGGAATCGTCCCCGGAGAATTCCTGCATTTTCCTCAACATGAATTGCCAGCTGTGATTATTAGAGACAAAGTACAAAGTTTCACGCAGGAAGGTTCAGTTGAAAAAAAAAACGAACTTGCGAAAATTACACTCTATGGACGGTTGCGGGTCGACCGGGCGGAGACAAGGGAGCGCATGGAAAGAAATGCACCTCGGGGCATCATTCAGGCGACGCA